CTATATATCGGCTTTTACTTAACTGCTAAATCCAAAGTACAATTTGACTACTAAATTTAAAATATCATTTAGCTCGGTTTCAGAGGTTTGAAATTCTCATACGGAATAATTGTTTCCCATAAAATATAGTACTCTGTCATTCATTTGGATTTTTTCCTTTTAGGCTACATGAAATGATATCAGATTATATCTGAGTAGCAGCAATATAGACACTTTCATAAGTGAGACATTTGTCACACTACACATTAGAACATTGTATTTTAGACATACCTAATAAGAAAATCTGTGAAGACGAAGCTACCATTTTTGTAAGCTGTTGTCATTGCTATGTAGATGACATATTTGTTTTTAAAACCATGATTTAGAATTACATGAACAAAAATGCGCTTTGAACTTTAGCTGTGGGTGGGTGATAAGAGTGACGGTCAAATCCCTCTATTCAGTCTGACAAGAGTAGTCCAAGAGTTTGCGGTGAATGGTATTGACTAGCTGCCTACCCTCTAGTCTAAAAAGTCAAAACCAGGGACAGCTAGCACGAATAGCCCTTGAGTAACTTTGCTCAAAATTTTAACAAACAAACAAACAAACTGTTAGATAAAGGAAAATTGTATTTCATTGTTTTAAATCTTTATTTTCAGTTGTACGATAGCCAAAATGTGTTTTATGAAATGCTCAAAATTATTTTCACTGAATCTTGTTTGATAACAAATAGCAAACGTTGCCGGACGTTAGAATTTACAACATATTCTGTAATATAACTATATCACATGCTAAAGACATATTTTTTAAACTTTAAATTACTTAAGAATCAGTATGATTCACACCATAGAAAACGTAAATGCTTTTACAGTTTTCATTTGCTTTGGTAATATTTTATTTACAGGTTCCTTATGTGACTATAGTCACCCAGAATTTTAATTTCATTTAATAGTTTTGATATAGAAAACTGATATAATGTATGTAAACAACTTATAAGGAATAAAAAAGAGTATTTTAAAAAATAAACCTAAAAATTTATTTATTTTTTAAAATATTTGAAACTTTATTACCTAGTTGAAAGTACAAAGTTCAAAACAATTACAATAATCTTTATTTTCATACTTTGCTTATATAATTACAATGAACTTTTTGCATCATCGTTGGTATTTAATCTAATCTATGTTTTTAGGAAACCAGATAGCATTTTGTTTTAAATCATAATAAGGATCGCACAGTAATTTGCTCAAAATTCTTATATAACATGTGGACAAAAAAAAACCTTGAAAAACAGACTTATTTTTGAAACAACACCCAAAACCTTCCTTTTCAATAGGTAAGACCACTCAAACATTGATAATAAGCAAAATAAGTGATTCCATGATTGTAGACAAAAACAAATTTTTCCTATTTGTTCATATTATTATTGATATTGTTGTTTCACAAGCCTACAGCAAAATCGGCTGGGTATTTTGCACCAAAACCTAAACAGATGTAGTATATTAAGTGATGTGAATGTCCACGACCTATTTAAAAGTTGATTTACGTGTCTAAAAATATATAATAGATGCGATGTTGTTCTGAGCGACTGCTTTTCTATTAAACGCGTGTTTACACAAAACCTCAGCCGCAAAGCCACCTGGCTCAGTAAATAATTACTTTAAAAGACACGAAGATTTATTTATAGCGATGTTTTAGACGTATATGTTTTATTTGAAAAGACTGTTTTTCTACTGATATAATTTTATGTTTGCTTAGTGGGATTGAGTCTTACTCTAGGCATATATTTGCCCATTCCTGTGCATTAAAAAAGCCAACATACAAGATAATTAAAAATTGAGAATTTAAAATCTACAAATAAGTATCGCAAAAAAACAACAACAATCAAGGCTGAATATCTACTGCTGACAATTTGTTTAACTTACAAATCACTATTAAGACTGCACTATAAAACTATTGCAAGTGATATCTACTGTAGTGTGGGATCGTACAGGAATTTTTCACAAAAATTGAGAGAGTAGTTTTAAACTTAGTTCGACCTTCTTAATTTTGTCGTGCTGCAAATTTTTTAAGGCTTTCAATTTCGATCATCAAAAAATCCAGTGTTTTCCTAGCGTGCACGTTAGTTGGAAACTACAACTCGTGCATTTTCTAGCGCTTTAATTGGAAACTGCCGTGTGAATGGTTCTCAAACTTGCTGTTGCATATCGTTATTCGAGTCGCTGTTGTTCATTGTTACTCGAGTTTGCTGTCTCTACGTGGATTTTCGCGAATATATTTCAGCAAGTTTTTATTGGTGGACGATTACCTACTGAGACGACGATGGCGATTCTTTTTACTTTTCTTATACTTAGCTGAAATCATAAGTTCGTATTCAGTATTTATTACCACTGCATATAGCACTATTTCATATAGGTATTGATATTTTTAAATTGTTTATGTTAAGGTAGCAGTTGTAAATGTTGTCGATAATTGGTGACTTACGCGAAGTTGTGTCGCTGTTGTCTATTTTGCATGCATTATTTGCGTTGTTTTATTCTAACAAACACTTGTTCACAGCATGGTGTTGAAGAAAGTACATATGTGTCATGTAGACGTAACAAGGTAAGTATGTTACTGCGTCTGTTTGCATTGCATTAATCTGTGTTCTATTACCTTAGAAGAAACATTATTCCTTTCTGATAAGATTGCTTTGTTGCTGCTCATCTTTTGTTACATTACACTGTGACATTGGTGGAAGCCGATCATCTGAGATGAAACAATCGTTGCCTTCAAGATGGTCCTTTAAGAACAACTTTACATTTTGTTAGTTGTAGTTACATACCAGTGCATGTGTTTATTCTTTGTTGTACATTTGTTATATATTTTGAATAAGTGCAGTGTGGTGGCTGGGTAGGAAAAATGCCAATGCAGTAGTAAACTGTTGAAAAACATGTAACATTAAACTGAACGCATATGCATGTATGTAACTTAAAATTTATTCTTAATAAACAAACAAGGCTGGAAATAGTGTCAAAATTACTTCCTCAAGCTATAAACTCCCATTTTGATTCCACTGAAATTGATATCTAGTGTATACATGGAGTCAAAATAGGGATTTGTAGCTTGAGGAAATAATGTAGACACTATTTCCAGTCTCATTTGTTTACTTTTTATTGAATCCCTAGATGTATACTTGAAAATATAATCTTTCCATTTTGATTCAACTTGTTTTTGTACTTTTTTGACGATCCCTATTCCTCCTTTTTTAAATTAACAATTTTTATTAATCCTGCATTTAAGGTTTGGGTTTTGTTTTTTCAGTTCTGTATCATCTTCATATTTGCAGGATATTAAAAAATCTACCTTTGTACCAATGACTCTTTCATATCACAGTTAAGTAAACTGCGGGGATGGGATGACGCCTAGTTGGGTAAAACATAATGAACCAAGACGTTAAGAAATTATTTTAAAGAAATTTGCTCTAAACGGAACTTAAACTCGATACTTTCGACTTATGGTAGCGTCCTGGTATCTCAGTCGCTAGAGCATTGGCCTTAGAACGCTACTATACTGAACGATTTTATATCCACTGTTGTGTTTATAAATATACTTTATTTATATTAAAAAACAACTTGATATAAGATAGGTCTCTGCAAAACATCATGTAGAAGCTATATATTTTCATCAAAGTTGTATTACATATTGCAACAAGCTGACTTGTAGTTTTTAGATAATGTTTTATAAGGTTCTAGTCCATGAATATCATAGCATTCTTATTATGATCTGTTATATTGAAAGCTTTTTTGAATTAATCAAAACATATATATATATACATTTCATTCATCAATAGATATACAAATTGTATTTAATTTCATAAATACATATTATGTTGTTCATTCTTAACTTATAATAATTGATTCAAAGCCTTCATACTGCAGATAATACCAAATGTTGTCTATAGTTTTGACATAATTCTGATATGACATTTTTATGCAGTTATCTAGGCTCATAGAATGGCTCTGAGTTTTTTTCAGCTACAAACTTTTAACTCATATCTCCATCTCTTGACTGATTTGAGATTTAATTACAGCTGCGGCGATTGAAAATTCCCTCTCGTTTTATTTAGAGGAAAAACATATTGATCAACAAAAGTATTGAAAAGGTTTGATAAAATTGGAGCAATTAAGTCTGTATAACCTTTCAGAAATCTCTGATAGTAATATTCAATAATTTTATTAGTTTGTTTTTGTATTTGTAATTATCAAAAGTGTCAGTCGGTGAAACAGGAAGAAAAGGAAAAACTATTGTAAACTGTTCTGAAAGATAGACATTGGTTGATAACTAATGAAGTTTTGTATTGAAACAGCAAGAGAGATGCTGATATTTAAAAAAGGCATTTGTAGTTTGTTTAGAGTCAGTTCATTCATTATCGTGAAGGTTTAATTTTTTAATGAATTTTCGCGCAAAGCTACACAAGAGCCGTATGCATACAGTGGCCCCTAATTTAAACTGATAAACTATAGGGAGCGCAGCTAGTCAACAGCTCCTACTACGAACTCTTGGGCTACTCTCACCTAACTAAATAGTGGGATTTGAACGTCACTCTTTTAGCATACCCACAACTTCAAAGTGTTTCAGGGAAACACGAAACGAATGTCATGAAGGTGTAAAACCTGAATTTATTGCTAATATGAGGTGTATTTCTCCAAAAATGATTTATTATTTACAAATTTTCTGTTGTTTTTTTTTGTTTGTTTTTTGCATGGCTAATTGTTGGATATCTAACTATCACGTGGGGAGGTAAAAGTGTTTCAAACTGTTCATATCCATCTTGACAAAGTCTGGTAATTAGGACATTCGATTCGCAATCTGCTCGCCCTTTCAGCCGTAGGAGCGTTATAATATGATGATCAATCACACTGTTCAAACAAACAAAGAAAAACAAAAATTGTATGCATTTGGAAGAAGAACCGGTGTCCAGGACCCTTAAAATGTCGTTGGCCCCTCAAACTAATTCTGTCCATTAATGTAATTTAGATTCATTTTAGATTTGGTCCCATTATATGTCTCCACCCCAGTTAAGAAAAACTGGACTCGGAACTAGAGCAAAGCAGCTTTTCAGGGACGAATGTAGTCTAATGGTTGTCGTGCTGGACTATGGATCTGCGGACCACTTTTTCGTGCCTTGTTACCGAAAAAATAAAAGCGCTCCGCATCCTGAGGCCGTGGGTGCAGTTCAATGAAGTTCAAATCCCGCTATTCTTTGAGACAATAGTGAGATCCGTCCGAGTTAATAACTCGTACTTTTGTTATGATATTTGCGTTTACAATCCAGCAAGCTATAAAAAGTATAATGTACACTCTTTCCGACGTATCTTTCAAAACTGGCATGTTACAAACAGTAGACACGTATTCTGACAGTAATGTCCTGGCTAGCCAACCAAATACCTACAGATGTTAAAAAAGGATGCGATTCTATTATTTTATGACCAAAAGTGTCAAGATTAGTTATCTGTATCGCATTAATCCAGATTGTAATTATAAGTAATCATGTTTACTAATGCTTAAGAGTTTGACATGTTGTAGAAACTGTAACTCCTTTTACTTTGGATATGTGAGATTTTACCAGAAGTAACTTAACCCTGAATTCAGCTAGGTTGGATTTAGTGCTTACTGTTTTCAGGACTTGAACGTTCCTTTAGCAGTACATTTTTATTGCATTCTTGATTGGGGAAACTTGCGCATTAAGAGTGAAGATTTACAATGTTAATTACGAGTCTTCTACAAAGTAAAAACTTTTGTCCAGAAGTGTATAACGTCGTGTCATTCTGTAACCTAATGTAGTACAAAAAATGTGAAGAAAAATATATATATTTTTTTCCTTTTCAAAAAAAAAGAGTTTGCCCAATATAAAATATGGACATTACATTAGTATTTTTGCAGTATTGCTTCATCAGAAACCATTCTCAATACACAGTCTCATTAATGAGTTTTTTTAAATCTTATGTTATACAGACTATGAAATAAATACTAGTGCCATAACCAGATTCATGAAATAGCAGTTGGCAAAAAAATTTTGGTTTCAGACGTTTATTTTTATGTTCAAGTGTACTTGAAATTAGATTACAGTATTTTCTCTAATTAATTATTACCTCACCTTTTACGAAGGTCAGTTATTCAGTTTATATTCAGAAGAAAGGTTTGGCTATCTTACATAACTCACGCAATCTTACAACTCCATGAATGCTTTGGGTGTTTCAAAGATGGCGGTTTAAATATGTTACAGATATGGTTTGCCGTAAAGTTCAGTAGTTCACATAAAGTAAACCTGTACAGAAAACTCTATAACTGTGTCATTAAGTGTTTTTTACAACCTGAAAATACAACAGGTAAAGAAACGGAGGTAGTGTCACTTATTCATTTATGTATTGACTTTTTTTAGTTTCTTCTCATTTTATATTATTATTTTGTAATTATAAGTCAATAGAATCTCATTATACATTTAGCTGGTGGCTGTAGTTGCACCTGTACGAGGAACGTCACGTCTCCTTTCTGTAGCTAACCGCCAGTGCCACGTTCACACAGTATCAACTCGTGCAGCTTAGTGGAGAGAAAAGTGTACGCTTCTGTTTTAGTCATGTAAGATTTTGTCCACAGAAACTAAAATGACAATTGACCCGAGTCGGGTAGTTCCACGAGTAGTCATGGCAGTTTTAGTGGGAATAGCATTTATTTTGCTGGTCCAATTTGAGCTTCGTCACAGGAAGAATCAAAAAGGTAAGTATCTTATGTATTAATGAGGCACACGCACTTCAAAACCCGTATCAGGTATATCTAAAGCTCACTGAAAAGATATACGTTTCTTTATATATTATGTCTAAAACAATTTCGGTATTGTTTCGGTTTTCACTAGAATTTCGTAACGCACGTTTAATATTAAAAATAATAGCAAAAATGAGCCTTTACTTAAAATGTTTCACTTTTATATGAGTTGCATCTCGTTAACTAGGTTTTCTTGTCTAAATTTCTCGCATTTTTTTATAAAGTTAAGTGTTACTATTTTAAAACATCTAAATAATACATATTTTATCTTTTGTGGAACGAAACAAGTCCGTGGCTGTTACTTAAGATAATCACATATTCTGACGTTCATAAATATGTAATAAATGTTCTTTTTTATACTCTCAAACTTTCAAGACTTCGACTGTTTGGGTTATATTTATATAAAAAATTGATCACTATAACATTTACTTCGATAAATTAAAATAAACAAAATTTCCCCTCATTTTATAGACGAACTAACTCTTAAATTATCGTTACTCTATCTTAATTGGCCCCCCAGTGGCACAGCGATATGTCTGCGGACTTACAACACTAGAATCCGGGTTTCGATACCAGTGGTGGACAGAGCACAGATAGCCCATTGTTTAGCTTTGTGCTTAATTTCAAACTATCTTAATTAACTTGTCGTGTTTGCATTGAGTATATCATATTTTAATTTCGTTAGTCAAATTAGTTGCTGCTTATGAAACTTTTTATTGAACTCATTTTAAACTGCCTCCAAACTTTAAACCACAAAGTTATTTGTAATATGTATAGAAAAGAAATACTGAAAAAAAATGAATTAATATTTTTTTCTTCTGGCGCGTTCTGATAGCTTACAGTAACTTATGTAGGAAATAACATCAGTAGCTTGATATACATATGTTTTTTCTTTATTTTCTTCCAGCGCGTTCTGATAGCTTACAGTAACTTATGTAGGAAATAACATCGGTGGCATGAAATACATACGACTGAATTAAATTTCTTAAGCTAACTTGCAACTAAAAAAGAAAAAGAAAAGAGAGGTTTCTATGTTTAACCGGTTTATTAATTGCTGTACTTAAAATACAACTTTTGAGGTTTTTGATGAGGATTTGCAGCGATATAAGGCACGAGCAAAACAAACGCGTGAAACTATATTCATAACTCATCTGAAAATATACATATATGGTTTTTACATGTTTCCTTTAACATTTGATTAAAAAAGATGTGCATCTAATACAAAATCTTTAAATTGCTAATCTTTGATTTTTCTACAGATGATGAAATTTCAAATGATAGCATATTCACCATCTTAAGCCACAAACTGGAGTCTGTATTTAAATTTGGTAGTGAAGTTAACGACACGACTAGCGGAAAAAAACGTTCAGTTATCGGTGATTCCGGAAAATCTCTTGATAAGTCAGACATTCCTGATGTAAGAAATTTGGAATCTACAAGTCCTGATAATAAACATGCCAACAATAAAAGTTTGACGAATATAATATTTAATGAAAGTTATGTTCAGTCAGAAAAAGTACCAGATAAAATTAGGACTACTTTGATTCGAAAAGAGTATATATCTATAAATGAGACTAGTGCCAACGAAAAACAAAGTCTCAACTCATTCTCACTTCGGGAATGTTTTAGTAAGCGAGGTGTTGTTATTTTAATGAGCTTAGCAAGCATTATTTCATTTCTGTTGGGCTCTTTCTGTTGTTTAGGAAAACAACTCTTATGGAGTGAGAAGCATTTTTCTCCAAACAAGTGGTGGATGTCGAGAAATGAGGAACTGTGGAACTTTACCAGCTTAGTTAGACAGAGAAGTAAGTCTTTAGTCACAGAATCCCAGTCTACAGTTACAGACGATTCAGTGGTACCTTTATTGTCCAGCGATGCTTCCATTTGTACAGTACAGCCAACAAACACACCATCTCTACTTAGCACAGGATCTTTATCGGTGAACACCACTTGTTCTCAAACTACAGTTTCTTCATCTGTTAGCACTGCTTCTTCTTCCATTAAATCGTCTATGCCAATCCATAATTTCTTGTTTGTCAAGTCACCAGTGTTGAATAATGAGTCATATTTTGTCAAGCCACCAGGGCGAACCATTAGTACACCATTGGTGAAATCATCACCTTTGACCGTTGCTTCAGAGTTCGTTAGATCAACAGAACGAGTTGTCAGACCACATTTGATTGAAACAACGCAGAAAGCTGGACCAGGATCAACTATTAAAGATGGTTTGTGAATAACTACCGGTACATCTACCAGTGGTGTTACCATCTATTAGCCAATGACATTACGTAATTAAGTGGTTATTTGTCAACTCCAGGATTTTCAATTAATTTATTTTTCGCGGACTAATGTGAAGCAGAATAAAAATTGTATGATGCGAGATAAGATAACTTTCTGGCTGAATTTCTCAGCTACTTAAAATAAAACTAAACAAAATTAGGTATCATTTAAGAAATCTTTTGTGGAATAATTCACTGAAATATATTCGCATTTCACCCCATTTGTATTAATAAAATCTGAATTTGAATGCACACGAAAAATGCTTTGCATTTTCTTTTTCTTTGTAGAATTTTCAACGTAGTTATATACGTTCAGAAACGGTTTGTTGTTGCTTCTGACTACACTTATTTACATGGCACGATTCTATCTTATACTAGATAATGACCCATTTAGTTGAGTTCTGTCTGCAATGTCATGCCAAAAATAACATAGTAAAACAATTTGATTTTGTTTAAGCCTCAATAGTTACATCATGCCTTTGCAATCACGATAGTTGTATCAAATTCTACAGACAATAAGAAAATGTTATTAGTATTTGAAACAGACTCGATAGATGATAAAGGACACTTTTATAAGATATATATATATATTTATATTTTATACATTTATTCACGAAATATACAGAGAAGAATTAAGTATTACTCTAACGGGCCAGGAGGTTAGGGCGCTCAACTCGCAATCTGAGGGTCGCGTGTTCGAATCTCCGTCCCACCAAACATACTCGCCCTTTCAGCCGTGAGGGCGTTATAATGTTACGGTCAATACCACTATTCGTTGGTAAAAGAATAGCCCAAGAGTTGGCGGTGGGTGGTGATGCCTTCCCTCTAGTCTTTCACTGCTAAATTAGGGACGGCTAGCGCAGACAGCCCTCATATGGCACAATCATAACTATATTACCAACTCAGTTTTTTTAAAACAATTTTTATTTGATACTATCACAACCCAGCATCGATACTTTACTTTTTACTCTATGTATCTGTAAACACGGATATAACGGTTGGTACATGTATACAGCTGTTTGTTAAATATATCCTTCTACTCATAAAATACCATTCAGCTGCACACAAAAAAATAATAATATTTTAAGTAAACTGAGTATCCAATAAATTTTAATCTCATTATTTATTTCAAAGAGTACTTCAGTTAATATCATATTTTTATATATTTCGTAATTTAGATGTCTGCTTCTTCCTCACACCTGTAGATAAACTATTACGGTTGATAATGAAGTTACACGCTGACAGTAGGTGACCTTAATGTACAAGGTTTTTGATAGTTTCATTTTTGGTAGGAAACGCTGGAAAATTCGTAGAAAGTCTGTTTTAATCTGCTACTAAGTTGTAAAAGATGAAAGCGTCTCTTAAGAATGCAAGAAAGGATGGTAGGTAATAACAAGACGAATGTGGATAGAGTCTGTCTTGTAAGACTCTTTTAGAACAATATTTCTTTTTCTGTTTGTCAATTTATGTGACTTTATGATCTCTTTGTTTCATGAGTTTTTCTAGTGTTTCATTATACATTTTGTAACTCTTCCTCAAAGCGCATTTTCTTTCTCCTAGGGTGATTACTTTTATCGCGTAAGTGTTGTGATTGATCAATAGGTTTCCTGTATATCTCAGTATACAAGATTCTAGATGATCACTGGGAACACAGACTTACTGATACGCTGCAATTCTTTTCTATTTTTGAGTACTCAAATTGAGTTATTATATAATAAATGCTGGTGGATGATTTTTGTAGAAATTTCCTAATTGATCACGCATGTTGGCGAACACAATCTAGTGTTGTGTTGCAAAACAAGATCATATATGTGGGTGTGATCTGGTATGTGTAAGCCTTAGTAAATTATTAATCACACTGGTATATTTTTGTCCGAGTTCTTTTTCATGTTTATATGATGAAGCGGGTTTCCGACCAATAGGTAGCAGTTCTGGTATGGAAAGCATTGCGACTTTTCTTGTTGCTTTACTAAAAAAGCCAACCTTATTTCATTTTCATCCCTGCTATTTCCACTTTATTGGATTGAATGTGTATAAGTATATTTTTAGTTGATAAAAAACTAGTATGAATGGTGAATTATGGTAGGAATGGCCATTACTACTGATTTCCGTCCAGGATTCCTTATATTTTTTTGTGAAACCATTACAGTACGAAGAACTGAAAGCTGTAAGTGCATTCCAGCACACGGAAATAATTGTCAACACTGATGTTGATTGCCATAGCTATGTGGATTGGCACCGAATGGTGACGTCATGCACCATTAATATACATTGGTTAATATGTGATATATGCGAAATTTGGTAAGTATGTGTGTATGTTAGTTGGTAAAAACTAACGCCAACTCAAGTCCATGTAACGATAACAAATTACTTTATTTCTTGTATAATGTTTCTACAAGCTACATTCACTCTGATAGAAATTGTAGGCTTAAGTTCACAAATAACGTTTCAACAGAAATTTCTCACTAATAGTACTATATCTAACTTACAAATAATCTTACTTATATAATTCCATGACTAATCGATCGAATAACTGAATGTATGCGATAACTTATTACTAATACTTATCTGAATCATTTCTTATTTAAATTTTTCAAGCATGCTAAGATACACACAGTACACAATTCATTAACAGAGCCTGAAGTAGTCTGGAAAAAAAATCAAAATTGCCCAGCAAGAAGCTCAGTGTCAAGAAAGTGCAATTTTGTTAATGAATTGTGTACTGTGTATCACTAGCTTATTATTAACTTAATGCTTCCATGGTAATTGCCCCCCCCCCGAGTGGCACAACGGTATATCTGCGGACTTACAACGCTAGAAACTGGGTTTCGATACCCGAGGTGGGCAGAGCACAGATAACCCATTGTGTAGCTTTATGCTTGATTAGAAACAAACAAACAAACCATAGTAATTGTATTTATAATGTATTCGCCTCCTTCCACATACCACGCAAGCCTTCATGGCGACAATAAAATTGATAATAATGACAATTCATTTAATTAATCTGATTTCCACTATAACACTCGTTGCTAATGAGAGCTGAATATGTCAAAAACACCTAGATCACTACTATGTCTTTCGTATCCTAGCCAGCCTCATGAACCTTAGTACTGAACGAAAGACCTCGTTAGCACTGAATATTGCAGATGTAGTGTAGTTGACGTATAACATATTCTTTCTTTGCTTTCACCAATATGTAGAATTACTGACATAGTTTTTCCCGTTGATGCTGTGGTTGGTTCGTCAGTTCTTCTGAATGATAGTGAAGTTAATGAAATAATAATATAAAATAAATAATCATTGTTAGAAATGAAATAAATAAATAACATTGTGTTATCAACCCTTACCCTAAAAATGTGATCTGTAAATGACGTAACTAAAATTGATAATAATCACAATTCGTTAATCTAGTTCATACCATGAGAGTTGTTGTTTATGAAAACTCATAACATAAATAGCGCTTAGGCTATTACTAAGCCTATGGTATCCCAGCCAGCCCTATGGTCCTTGTTTTGGGCGAAAGGTCTCGGCGGCACTAAATATGGCAGATGTAGTGTTAAATTATTATTACAAAATCTTATTTAATTTCATTCATATGTTCTTATAATTTCTAGATATTGCATCATCATCATGATTAGCAGCTTCCTCTAGCAAACATCTAAATTTAAATATTAAAGATATAGGTTAAAACAATATATATATCTTACTTTATGTATGTATTGGTTTGTGTATACATGCACACACAATTAAAATACAGAAGAGCACAATTTTTCAGGCTAATAAAGAATTTGGCTTAGACCAGACTGGCAATGAAATATGATCTATTTTTATTTATTGGTAAGTGATGTATTTGGTTTTGTCCTAAACTGAAATATTCATAAGGGTGATTGTTCAATTTTAGAGTAGTAAAATAACAAATAGATTTGGCATAGAAC